CTATTTTGCATTTAGTGTTCATTACTATTAGCTTTGATTTGGACTCATTTATTTCGATATTGTTAGCTATGAAGAACTCTTTTGCAATTTTAAGGATTTTTAATAACTGCTTCTTATTGCTAGCAATTTATGTTGTATTATTTGTATATGCAATTGCTGTTTGTCTATATTTTGTTATATTGTTAGTACATATTTTGTCTATTATTTTCTGTTTAACTATATAGTCTAATGTTTTGTTTTTTTGAATTCTTTCCAATAATGGATTATAAAAGAAATGTCAAATTAGAGATAAGATTACTTCTTGATCTATTTCATCTTTTGCTGTTATTTTTTCTATTAAGCTATAAGCTGTAATAACTTTAAGTTGTCATTTAAAAAAAAGGTTGAATATGTATTTTATTGTTTTCTGTAGTATTTTGATTCTTATAAGAGCCTATTCTAGGCTTTCTAGTGAAACTAAATCGAAAATCTTTTTTATATCTTATAGAAGTATCCATACTTCTTTGTTCTTTTCTTGTACTTCTTCCATTATTATGTTTAATATATGTATTGATTGTTCTGTTGAGTTGCCTGGCAGACCTGTATAATTTGGCCCTTTAAATATTTCTTTTTCTATAAATATCTAAGCCAAATGTTTTGCTACTACTTTTGTGACTATTTTTCTGAAGTGCTATTAGTCTAATGTTATTTAAACTACATTTCTAGTCTTTATCTTTTGGAATTGAATATACTTGTACTATTTTCCACTTCTTTAAAATTTCTTCTTTTTTTTAAAATAAGGTTTCAAAGACTTTAAAGATTTTTTGTGTTTTTTTTTCTGTATGCTTGATTAACATGTAGCTTATGTCTAATATTTATGAAGCTGTATTAGTTTTAAGCTCTCTTAGTATATCTTTCCATTTTTCTTTTTTTATCTTTTCTTCTAGCATCTTATATTAGAACTCCTCAATCCACTTTTTTGGCTTGTATATCTCTTTCTATTCTTTGGACATTTCTTCTAAGTTTATTTTTCTTTTTTTATCTTTTCTTCTAGCATCTTATATTAGAACTCCTTAATCTACTTTTTTGGCTTGTATATCTCTTTCTATTCTTTGGACATTTTTTCTAATTTTATTTTTCTTTTTCTGAATTAGTTTTGAAAATGCTTTATTAAGCCATTTATAAATGCTTTTGGTTCTGTTATTAGTTCTACTTCTTTTCTATCTTGTGTTATAAATCTGTCAAGAACTATCTTTTTAAATAGTCTGTTTAGTAGACTAGTAATCGTTTATTCTTAATTCGTCTTGATCATCTCACATCACTTGTTTATGTTCTCTTCTATCTGTTTTCTTTAGACTTACTTCTATTCTTTTTTTTTTCTCTTTAAATATTCTTAGCCAGCCTTTATATCCTCTATTCAGGCTTCTGACCACTGTCTGTGCAACTTTGATAGCACTACTTTCATTCTTTTCTCTATAGCTTTAAGCTTGTTGTTTATTTTTGTTATTTTTTTCTTTTCTGCTTTCTAGTTTTTCTTTGTTTTTGCTCTCTTAATTATCTGCTACAGCTCAATAATGTATTTGTCTTATTGTATCTTTTTTATGCTTTGTTTTCTATTTGTTTTTGTATTAAAGATCTTCTTTTTTGGAATTTGTTTATTATTGCTTCAATTATACTTTTTTCTATAGTGTCCCATATTAAATTTAACATATTTGTATTGCAATTTGCACCTATTTTATTTTTTTAGTTGTTTGATAACTTTTTTTCATTCTAGTTGGTTTTGTAGTTCTCTTGTATATTCTTTTTAGTCTTTTTGTTTTACTTCTTCATACAAATATATTTTCCTTGTTTGGTCTTTTATTTAATGTTTGTACTACTACTGTTTGTGATTATATGTCTAATCTATATTTCTGTTATTATTATCTTATGATCACTATCAGTCAGTTCTTCTATTTTTCTATATTTGTCTTTTGTAAATCTGATGCAATTGCTTCTGATAGCTATATATAGTCAATTCATGTTGCTGCTTTATAGCTTGACTATGTGTATGCTTTTTCTGTTAGATAAAAGCTTTTGTATGAGTCTGTAAAATCTTGTTTTTTGAGGTAATTGAATAGTAGTAATCTTTTGTAGTTTGTCATTTGTAGATGTTGTCTGTCTAGTATATTGTCAACTGTGTAATTAAAGTTTTCTAATATAATCACTTCTGTATGTCTTTTCTTGTTTGTTATTATTTCTACCACTTTTTGTTGAATGTACTTGCTAATTAACTTGTCATTAGATGAAATATATATTTTTATCACTATTAGTTCTAATTGTTTAAAGTATATTTGCACTTCTATCATATATTTGCTAATACTTTTAACAGCTTTTATATGTTTTTCCTACTTCTCTTCTATCAGTATACCAATTTTTAAATCTTTTTTCTTGTTTGGTACTGCACTAGTTAGTAACTCTTATATTGTGTATTGAGATCATGTATTAGGAATTTTTCTTCTTTTTCTGCAATGTTTATTTCTGTTATACCTAATACAAGTAAATCTTAATATAAGAAAGTTCATAGGTCCAATCAAAATCTTTTTATATCAAGAGTTCCTTATAGCATAAGCCTCTCATTATAAGAAAGATTTTATATTATAAGAAGAAACTTTCTTATATTAAATGTTGCCAAAAAACCTATAAAATGTCTTACAAATTGATGCATATGAGCATTAATTTCATTATTATAAAATTAATACTCATGAATTATTAGTTATATTGAATAATATTGCTAATTTGTACACAATTAAAGCAAGATAAATATAGTAGTATGATTGTTAATTGAATTAAATAACATTATTTATTTGTGTATGATTAATACATAATAAATAATATTCACAAAATTGTATTCAAATAAACTGATTTTATTTATAATTTCACAAGTAATGTTCTTATAATAATTAGACTGCAAAAATTAGTTTTTTTAAAAATTTTTTTACAATAAAGTATACAGGATAGTACTGTAAACAAAGTTGTAAAAAGTAATTAGTAAAGCATTTAATGGTACTATACATTTAATAAATGCTTACTCATACTTTTAATAAAAACCAGCTAACTAATTTTGATTAGGTTATATGAATATTGTGAATTATTGAATGTAGACCTAATAAATAGAGTTTTAATACAAAGTTGCTGCATATAAACACTAAGTTAATAAATGTTAAACTAAATCTCTATTGAATTTATTTATTATTGATCAAATTCAAAATTTTTTTAGATTTTAAATTTGAAATTTGAAATTTTAAAAATTTTTAAATTTCAAATTTTAATAAGCTAAAATTATCATGAACAGACTTTAAACTTTATGACTATGAATTAAACTTGCAAATATGAATCTAGAGTTGTTTGTTTTTGTAGTACAATGCTATCTCTTACAACATCTTTTTTAAAACTGCCTAATTTTTTAATAAAAGATCCATCCATCTTAAATCTATCTTTTTGATCAATAAACTGAAAAATTATATTAATATTTGTAATAACTTCTTTATAAGAAATACAAACTTTGGGCTCAACTTTGTCATCTTTATTACAATCATGATCGAGTATAGCATTGATTATTTTTGCATTACTGGGCATTACATTAGTTTCAACACTATGGTTAGCTTCAATATAATCATTTGCAAGTATTGGGTTGGTTATAGAAAGATGATTAATTAGAGACTGGATTTCTGTTACAAAGTTAATAGGGTCTGCAATGCTTAATGTTTGTGAACTTTGTGAAGTAAGATCAACTAGTTCAAAATCCTTTATTAATTTTTGAGAGGTCAAAGAAAAAAATTATCTGGAAAAATTCCAGTCTTAATCCAACAGTTACAAATTGTTTTATCAGAAACCTGCTCTTATGCTTCAGCAAAAAGATCAATGTCATCTTTGATATTAATTAGTAGAGCATTTTTATTAGTTTTGTTGCTTTCTTATAAGCTGCAATATAATTTTTGCAAAATAGTTTATAGTAGTATGCCTTAAAACTTCAAATTATACCAGCATTGCAAGGTTGCAAATATGCTATCATATAAGAAGAAAGTTAGTGTATTTTAATATTTGAAGAAATGAATTCTTTTTCAAAAGTGTGTGATGCTGCTTGATCCATTAATAAAAGTATTTTTCACCTAGCTTTTCTTATTTGTTTATTAAGTTTTTTAATATAATAATTAAAAATTGAAAGTTGCATCCAAGAAGAAAAATTCTAGTAGTAATAAACTGGTAGTTTTGTTTTATTAATACATCTAATAGCATAAGGGTTTTGGTATTTGTAAATAAGAAGAAGTGGCAATTTATTATTACCAGTACTATTGCATGTTACTAAAATTGTAATCTGATTCTTTGCTTTTTTTTTTTATGATTAGGACCACTTGCAAAAGTTTTTTCAGGTTCAAGACACCAGTACAACCCAGTTTCATCACAATTATATATATCTTGGGATAATATTCTTTAATGATATCTTTTAATTAATCATGATAACATAGAATAGCATTTATTGGAGCACTAGCAGATTCACTTTGTCTTGTATATTCTTTAATATAAAATTATTTTTTAAAGTTTGTGAGCCACCCTTCTGACTCTCAAAAATTGTTAATCTTTAGTTTTTCAGCAAACTGGAAAGTTTTATATTAAATAATTGCACCTGTAATTGTCTGATAATGTGCTTTAGCCTTTGAAACTCACAAGCTCAGTACTTCTTTTAGCTAAAGATACTTAGCTATGCAATTTCATTTAGATTTTGCTTGTGATAAATTAGAATTAATTGAAAAAAATAATCTTGTTGTTTAAGTATTTTTGAGACTGTTGATTTACTAATTTTAAATTTGTTTGCAAGTGCAAGTTGGGTATAACTCCTCTTTCATAAACAACAAATTTCAGCTTTTTGAGCCTTTGTTAATGCAATTTATTTTGATTTTTTACTGTTTGTTGCTTGTCTCTTATTATTATTAGTATCATTTATATTAAATATTCTTCTTTCAGAAGTTAAATCATAATCTAAAATGTTATTCCAAACTGATGTACTATTGACCAAAGATTCTCTACCTAATGTTCTAACTGAAGATTCAATACCTAAAGACCTACTAACTAAAGACTCTGGTAAAGACCAACTAGTTGAAGTCCTGACCAACAATCTATTGACTAAAGACCCACCAACTGACAACTTATTAACTAAAAACTCACTACTTTTCTCAATTATTATACTTAATTCAAGACTAGTAGCAATCATAAAAAAATGATATAAAATGATTTAACTTGTTCTTTATTCCTCTATTTGGTAACTTATGTGATGAAATTAGCAATTTAAAAAAACTTTTCAATAGCAATAATTTTTAAAAAAGTATTTTTTTAGGACAGTTGAGATGTAAGTTCTTAAAAATTAAAATAAGAATTTACCTATTGAGATAGTATTATAGCAAGAGTTGCATATACAATCATTTTATTAAATTTTTTATGGTGCATTTTAGGTAGAGGTTTTTTTTTTCTTTGTTTTTATTTAATGCATTATAGTTTTCTGTATTACACATTTTTATTACATATTTTGTCTTATTGTATACTTTTTTATTGCACTTATAGCAGAGACAGTGCCTGATCTAAAATGAATTTTTCTTGCCTGTGATCAATTAAAAATTAAATTATTTATATTGAATTCAATTGTAATGGATATAATCTCTCACCAGTTTTAATATATTTATAATATTAACAGTCTCTGCTGTTTATTGTGCTACATCAATTATTCTTTTTTATTTTATGTTACATATTTCATTAAACTTTTTTGTATCATATATTTGATGCATTACACATTTTGCATTATATATTAATCTTAAGATTTGATTGGCTGAAAGTCATGTAATAATGTGGTTTCTTATATCACAACAAATTTAATTAATAAGAGATAGCCAAACATTCTTATATACTTATATTGAGAGTTTCTTAATAAGCTTTTTTATATCAAGTGAAATTTATTAGATTTAAATTGAGGCCAATTAAAAACTTTCTAATAGGTCAATTTTCTTATATTGAGGGTTTCTTATATAAAGAGTTATTTGTATTGATATTTCTTCTTTTTCTCCCAATCTAAAAAATTTTCTAGTTTCTATTCTTTAATCTTAAGTCTGTTAATATTATTGCATACTATTCTGAGTTCTTTTCTATTTATTTGTTTTATTTTTCTTTAAGTTTGTTAATTTCTTCTACTCTATTTGTTTCTTTTTCTTTACCCTTGTTCTTCTTGCTAGAGTTTTTAATAAAATAAAGAGTTTTTTCTCTTTATGTTCTTTTATATATTTTCCTTTTATTTTGCAAAAAGTTCATGATCTCCTTATCCATGTTTATGTTTTCAATCATGACAATTTTTAGAAGTGTTGAGCAAGATTCTTCTGCTCTTCACTCATCTTTTCTAATTTTTATAGTATTTTTTGTAACATAGTTTAATGTTAATCTATTCTTTTCCAAATGCTTAGTATGTCTTTTTTGTCTTCTTTGTTGACTTTGTTGTTTTTATTTCCTTCTGTATTTGTCATTTCTTTTTTGTAATTTAGCTTCTATTGACTTCTTAATGTTTATTATTTGTATTGTTTTCTTTTATTATTTTTGTTTTGTAAGTCAACATGTTCTTACTTTCTGGTCTTCTCTTTTCAGTTGATTTTCAGTATAATGTATAATTGTAATATCTTACTAGCTTACTATTTGCTTTCTTGAGATCTGTGTTATTTACAAAAGTTATTACTGCTATACTTCTTAAATTTTCATTTCTGTTAGAAGGAATGTGAATTGCTTTTGCTCCTTTATTTCTAAGTCTTCTTAGTAGTAATACTTCTAAAGCTTCTCTTGCTAACTTTATTAGTTTAATTGTATGTTTTTCTTGTTTTTCTTTTTGTTCATAATCTTTATAATCCTATGTAACATATACTAGATTGTTGTTTTCAATTGGCAAGAACCATAGTACTCTTTTTTTTCTAAGTAAATAGGTTTAATTATTGCTAAGGCTTTGAATCTTGTTCTTTTGATCTTGACCACTTGTGCACTTTTTATATTTCTATACATATACTTGACTTCTTCTTCTTTTATATCTGCTAGTAAGTTCCAAATTATTAGAAATTTGTTTGTTTCTTTTATTTCTACTACTTTTTTTTCCTTTCTCTTTGTGTATTTTATAGGTTTTTTCAGCTTTTTGGTTTTCTTTTAATGAAGTTACTCTTATTTGGTATTTGGCTTTCATTTTTTCTCTTTTCTTTACAACATGTATTTCTTTGATATTTTGTCTTTATAATTCTTTTGTTGCTATAGTTGTAGTTAATATCTATTTCTATTCATTTGTTATTTTCTTTAGTTGTTTTTTTAACTGACTTTATATGTTTGTTTTCTCCTAACATTGCTTTTATATATTGTAATTTTTTTTGAATTGTGTTACCTTTCAAGTTGTGTGCTAATATTTTTGTATGATGTAAGTTATTTGTATTACATTTTCTATTTGCTGATGCCTAGGTGTTTTGTTCTAATGACATATAAGTTTTCTCTATTTGTTGAGTCTGTACTTATAGTTTATTATTTCATATTGCTTCTGTTTCTTGTTTGCTAATGCTGTTATTATTTTTTGTATTTACTTTTTACTTTTTCTCTAGTTTTCCTACTTCTATTTGCTGTCTTTTCTTGCTACATTCTGCTTACATGTTTTCTTTTTTTATGATAATTTCAATGTCTTGCATTTTGTTTTTTTATCTAGTTACTTCTTCTGGTTTCATGTTTAAAAGATAATCTACTGATTTTGAGTTTAGACTTATAATTTTAATTCTTTTAGTACAGTCTTTAATGATTTCACTTTGTAGCTATATGCTTTCTGTTTTTCTCAAGGCTGCTAATATCTGACTATAAAGAAGCAAATCATATATCATGATTTTATTTATATCTTCAACTACTAGACTTTTTGCTATTAGCTTTATGTCTGAGCTTAATGGTTTTGTTTCATTTAAAACTTTAACTAGCTCCTTGTTATTTATATATTTAACTACTCATGCCCTATAGTTGCTAACATATTTGAGCAGACTTTGCATTCATGCAGTTTCTACATAGACCAGATCTTCTTCTAGATTTTTCTGTATATGTTATATTTATTTGTTTACCTTTGTTTGTTTGTTGCATGCCCTATCTATTACTAAATTCATATATGTCTGTATTTGTTTACTTCTGCTTTTAGTTACATGTTTCTGGTTTTTGTTTTTAAGATCAATGCCAATTCTTAAAAAAATTTTTAATTTTTGAAAATTTTCTTGTTTTTTGTAAAGTTTCTGTTCTAGGCCTTTTGATTCTTTTTAACTACTGTGCCTCTATACTATTTCTATATGTTTATCTTTTTGCTTCTTTTTTCTTATAACACTTTTGTATATTTTCTATGTTGTTTCTTATATTGTTATCAATTTTGTATTTTTTTCAAATTTGTAAAAAGGGATTAGTAGAAAGAGTTGTTTTAAATTTTTTGAAATAGTTATATATTATAATGTTATAATTTAGTAATTCTATTACTAACTATAGTAATAACACTTTATGATTAAATATAAAATCTTTTTATTATTTATACAAGCTGTAAAACTTATTAAACAAATGTTAATACATCTTGTTTAATCAATAATAATGCTTGTATATGCAAATTAGAACTAATAAAAAAAATTAGAATTTTTTATCAAGATGCATAATTGCATAATATTGCATGCTGCATTATGTTGCATTATGCAATGCAGAGCCAAAAAAAACAAGCATTTGCACATCTCTAATTATATATATTGTATTAGTATATATAATTTTGTAGTCAAATAGTTAGTTCAAAAAATAAATATTATTGCAAAAAAAGCTTTGTAAAATGTGCTTACATTTAAGCATAACAGTATTAAGAATAATTTCTTACAACATATCAAATAGTTGCTAGTAGAATTATGATATTATAGCATTTTACTACATGATAGAATTTGTTATGATATAGTATCTAATTGGTGCAATGCCTTAATATTTTAGTTAGGAAAAAAATGAATTTAGTATTAATTAAAAAGATTTTGGTAACTATAAGATAGATATGTGCCATTGTAATGCAAAACCAGAAACAGAAGACATGAAAAGTATTGATATTCATTTAGTAAATATATAAATTGTTGCACTTAGTGATGTTCATATACAGTACAGTATCCAAAAAATTTTTTAGAATATTCTAGATTAAATAATAAAGTATTCTATTTCAAATTTTTGATTCTGAAAATTGTTCTTACATAATGTTGCATATAAATTATTTATAAATGCTAGATGTATTCTACTACTAATATATCTATATCTTACATTGCAATACTAAACCTAAAAGAGGTCTAACAGCCTACTCTAGTAGAGTTTTGGGCTAAGGATAAATTAGTTCTAGCTATAGGTCAATGTAATAATTTATATAACTCATTTTTATTAATGTAATACCAAATTGTTCAATAAAGACTGAGGCAAGGCCTCACTCTTAAAATAAAAAAAAAATAAAAAATAAATGCTAGATGTATTATGTATACTATATACACTATTAAACACAGATTTTTTATGCCTTAAAAATAAATATCTTTGAATTATTGATATTAATTCCAAGAATAGTTAAAACTTGATATATAAAAAATTTTATATTTAAACAGAGTAAATTATTCAATATCAAGTGAAATAAAAAATTTAAATGATATAAATAATTTCAATAACAATAATGCAGTCAAAACAGCAAACAAAAACAGATAAAACCAATAATTTTATATATAAATTAAATGTTATACAAAACTAGAAGTTTTGTTATAGATGAAAGATAAAACTAGGTTTTGTCTTAAATCAAAAAAATTTTAAAAATACAAATTGACAAAATTGATAAAAGGTAACAAAACTGACAAAACTTGAAAAACTAATGAAACTGATTAACCAATTAAATTTAATAAAAATTTATGTAGCATAAAATTTATAAAGCCTAAAGTCATTCTAATCTTATAAAAGATTAATTTTAATAATGATAGTTATGTTATTTATACTACTACCTAGTGTTGTTAGGTAAAACTATTTTTGGTAAATAGAATGTATATTTTATAAAGAATTTTACTATAAAGAATGTTTATAGTAAATATCTCATTTATATAATTGCATTGTTCTAGGTTGGCCTCATAAATAGGTTGTAAGGAGATATATTTGTTTGCTATTATAGTTTTAACTCCAATTTTGTATAC